AGTGCTGGGAAATGTAGGCTGTTAAATATATAGTTTTTTGAATGCACTTGCTTTTTCATTCAGTGTTTCTGTGCCCAAAAAGAAATTCCACATCATTTAAAAAGAAAATTTCATTTTTGTTGTACATTTATGTTATTTAAGAGAGGAATGTTTATGCCATTATTATAAACAGGATTTTAGTCAAAGCAAATATTAAACCAAAAGCCATCCACAGGTAATTAGAAGACAATATTTTGAATGTTCTCATTACAAAGAAATGATAAATGTATGAGATGATGGTTATTACATGGTATTTGGTTATTATACAGTATGTACATATATGTATTGAAATATCACACTGCACCCATAAACATGTATCATTATTATGTGTCAGTTGTTTTTAAAAACCCATTCCCAAAATTACCTTTTGTACAAATCTTTTGTTGATTTCATCATAACCCATAATTAATATAAATAGGAGGGCCTTTGTATTGTGTCATTCGTCCCATAGAGTAGCAGGTGTCCCTTGGTATGTTATGATGAGGAGGTTGATGAGGGTGATAATGATTGCTGACGAGAGCTAACATTTATTGAGCCTGATATCTGATAAGGGCTTGGCATATCTTTATTCAGTTCATGCTCTCAGGAACCCCAGGAGGCAGGCACAGTTATTATTCCCATTTTATAGGTAAGGAAACTGAAACAGAGATAAAGTTCCTGACTCCAAGTTATGTCTTTAGAAGCACTAAGGTCTGTGTCACACCTGTTCACCTGGCCCGGGAGCCTGCACTCAAAATCACTCCAGTACCTCTTCTGGAGTTTTACTCATAGGAAAGAGTCTTTGAATAAAGTGATCACTTATAAATATTTATTTATTTGAAAGGTAGAGGTGCACACAGACAGAAATATTCTATGTTGGTTCACTCCCCAAAAGGCCACAATAGCTAGTGCTGGGCCAAGCCAAAGCCAGGGGCCCTGAACTCCATCTGGATGGCAGAGACCCAAATAGTTGGGCAATCATCTGCTGTTTTTTCGTAGGCGAATTAGCAGGAAGCTGGATCAGAAGCAGAAAATCAGAGACTCAAACCAGCACTCTAGTAGTGGATGCTGGCATTCCAAACAGCAGCTTAACCCACTGTGCCACAATGTCAGCCCCAAAATGATCATTCAAAGACTGCACAAGAAATCTGGGAAGGAATTATTGGCATTTTTATTTTTTTATTTTATTTATTTGAAAGACAGATTTACGAGAGAGGTAGAGACAGAGAGAGGTCTTCCATCTGCTGGATTACTCCCCAGATGACCGCAACGGCAGGAGCTGCATCGATCCAGAGCCAGGAGCCTCCTCCGGGTCCCCCACATTGGTGCAGGGGCCCAAGGACTTGGACCATCGTCTACTGCTTCCCCAGGCCACAGCAGAGAGCCAGATTGGAAGAGGAGCAGCAGGGACTAGAACCGGTGCTCATATGGGATGCCAGCGCTTCAGGCCAGGGCCCTAACCCACTGCGCCAAAGCGCCAGCCCTGGCATTTTTCTTTTTAAATATTTTTGTATGGAACAATAGGAAGCCAGATAAGAAGACTAAGTAGAATAAATGATTATCAAAGACCATGATACTAAAAGTTCACCTCAAATTACATTGGCAAAATGGAGTTCTCAGAATTTTGTGATTGACTTCTTTTGTTCCCTAAATAAAATGTTTCAAAGTTAAACAAGGGTGAACTCCTTCCTCCTATGGCTGTTCCTGTTGAGGGAGGAGTATGCTGACCTTGCCCTCTCCACAGTTTCCCAGAATGGACAGTGTATGTGCAGGAGAGGCCCCCCTACACCAGCCTGTCTGTGGGCTATGCTGAAGGGTTCCCGTAAGGTGCATTTCTTAGCATATGGTGCCTTTGCCTGACTTTTTTTCTGCTGGCCTAAGTGCCTCACCCTAAAGCACTCTGTCATCGCTGATGGAAAACGTCTGTTACTCTTGCAGGTTGTTCATGGTCACCACAGCATCCTATCAGAGGTCCTCACTTACAGGTCTTTTGTACTCATGTAGGCAACCCTGTCCTCCAACACTTGATTGTCCACAATAAGAGTAATTCCAAATCAAATTTTCTCCAGTGGTCAGCAGAAAGGACTGCACCAAAATCACCTGGGGAACTTTTTTAAAAAACAGATTCCCAAGGGCTCCCAAGATTTGTCAGCTCGTTCTCTGGGGTTGTTTGCCCCTTGCTTACATTGTTAACAAGCACCTGAGGTGCTGCTTCCCATATGTGGGAAGGTGTGCAAACTTCAGTTCAAAAGATTATATTATATTAAGTAAACTTTATTCATAGCAGTTCTGAGAGAGATACAGACAGGACTGAATCCCTGCTCTTAAGATCCTGACAGTCCCATAGGGAAGATAACACTTGCATAGGAATAACAAAATGCAAAGTAAAAAAACATGTGCCAAAAGAAAGAAAGAAAAAGAACAGCTACTTTCAGAGAGCAGAAATGAGAAAATCTTCTAGAGTTTTTTTTGTTTGGTTTGGTTTAGTGCAGAATAAGAACACTTGGATTATTCTTCATTTGTTAGCACACATAAAGCTTGCAATTTGTTTCTCTGTCACCAACTCACTGAAGCAATTTCTGGAATTTTCCTAATTTGCAAAATGAAGGCAAAAGTTTTAATATTATTAAAGGCTACTGGCACCTACAATGGGGAAAAGGTTTTGCATTCCATAAATTAAAAGCATGCTGGAGTTTCTGTTGTCATTTTTTAATTAGATTGCCAGCGTTTGTATTGTGTGGAACCAGGTACTCAGAGAGCTGAATAATACCCATTTGTTCAGCTTCCTCGACCATGTGGCTCTCCCCAGAGCTTTTGTCGCAAGTGTTTGTGACGCATTCAGCTTTTTTTATAAAAGGAAAAAGAAGCACTGTACCCTTCAAAGTAGTTAGTTTGCCACTTACCTATGAGTAATACTTCTAAAAATAAGTAAAAAGAAGTAGGCCAACAAGTTTGAACCAGGGAAGAAGAGGAGAAATAACATGTATTCAACATTATATGCCGGGCACTATGCCAAGCTGATTTCAGAGAGGTTAAGTAAATACACCAGTCCACACAGTACTGAAGCCAAGAAAATAGAGACTGTAGATAATCGGTGACCCGGTGGCTTCTATCAGGAAGTGTTGTGTTAGCCGCCGACAGTTGAGTACTGCTGGAGAGGCACTGGGAGGATACAGAGATAAATACAACACCGTGCCAGACTCAGGGGAGTGCACGGCCTGTTGGGAAATGAGACATTTATGCAGATAACCAGTACAAGTGAGTGACAGATCCTAACATTTGTGCTTGCTGTGCGATGCATTTTCAGTATATTATCCCATTTAATTTTCGTAGCCAACCTGCAAAGTCATTAGAATTTCTGTTACATAAATGGGGAAATTGTTACCCAATGAGTAAGCAGCAGGGCTCAGATTTACATCCAAGTGTACGAAGGTACTTGAAAAGATTCGTGGAGAATGGAGTTAAGAGACAAGTTTATTTTGGTGCAAAAACATTTTGAAATCTGTGCATAGTTTTTTTAATAATGTATATTTCCCTCAAATTTTTGAAGTACCCTCATACATTATTAGCTATAATCACTATGATGTACCTTAGATCTCTTGAATTTATTCTTCCTATCTAACCTTTTGACCTTTTGACCACTATCTCCCAAACCCCAACTACACCCCAAACCGCTGATAATCCACCATTGTACTGTCTACTTCCATGAACTTAACTTTTCAAATTATATACACAAGTAAGATCATGTGGTGTTTGTTTTTCTGTGTCTGGCTTCTTAACATAATATCCTCCAGATTCATCCAGTGTACATTATGTTTTAACAAAACTCTGTGATCATCCCAGATACTTCTCATAGATTCCAATATTTTTGCACAAAATTGTACGATAAGATTTAAAATTTAGGAGAAAAATGGCTGATGCTGTGGCATAGAAAGTTAAGCCACCACTGCAGTGCCAGCATCCCAAATAGGCACTGGTTCAAGTTGTAGCTGCTCCACTTCCAATCCAGCTCCCTGCTAATGCACCTGAGAAAGCAGTGAAAGATGGCACACACATGGGAGAACCCCAAAAATCTCCTGAATCCTGGCTCCTGGCTTCGACCTGGCATAGCCCCAGCCTTTGCAGCCTTTTAGGGAATGAACCAGCAGATGGAAGATCTTTCTCTCTATAGATAGATAGATAGGTAGAGTGATATAAATCCCTCCCTCCTTTGTATCTCTGCCTTTCAAATAAATAAGTCTTTTTTTAAAAAATGTGGGAACAAAAAATGTATCCAAGAACTTTTTTCCCCTTCAGACAGAGAAATCTGCCTTCCATTGATTCACTCCCCAAATATGTGCAATAGCCAGGACTCTGTCTGGCCAAAGCCCAGAGTAAGGAATTCCATCTGAGTTTCCCACGTGCGTAACAGAAACCCAAGTACTTGGGCCATCATCTGCTCCTTACTGTGCACATTAGCAGGAAGCTGGATCAGAAGCACTGAGTAGCCAGGACTCTACCAAGGCACTTTGGTATAGCAAGTGGTTGTACTAAGAAGCGGCTTAACCAGGACCTATATTGTGGCATAGCGGGTAAAGCCCGACCTGAGACGCCAGCATTCCATGTGGGCACTGGTTCATGTCCCAACTACTGCACTTCCAATCCAGCTTCCTGCTAATGGCCTGGGAAGAGCAGCAGAGGATGATCCAAGTACTTGGGCCCCTGCCACACATGTGGGAGACCTGGAATAACTGCTAGCTCCTGTCTTCAGCCGGGCCCAGCCCTAGCCATTGTGGCCATCTGGGGAGTGAACCAGCAGATAAAACATCTCTCCCTCTGTCTCTGTAACTGTGACTTTCAAATAAAGAAATAAATCTTAAAAAAAAAAAAGCAGCAGCGGCTTAACCTGTTATGCCACATTGGTTTCTCCTGGATTTCTTCTTAAACCAGTGGTTAGTGTTATGATATGCAGAATTAATGGAAATTTTTTTCTTACTACTTAGGAAGTACCAGAAAGGAACCAGAGTCCGACTGCGGCTATTAGATCTTGAACTTACATCCAGGTTCCTGGGAGCAACAACAGATACCACCATCCTGGAGGCAGATGCAGTTCTCTTAGGACTCCAGGACAGTAAAGACTCAAGATCAAAAGAAGAACATCGTGGAAAATAAGTGAATTTTGCTTAGTGCATTCATTCCTTGTTTGTTGACCCCAAACATTTGTCAAGAATACAGTTAGCAAACTGTGAATAACTGATTAAACAGATATAATAAATGGAAACTATAATTGTAACTCTTAATTGTTAGAATTTTCTTTAGCTATATATTCCCCTCCCATGTTTTGTTCATTTTTTCCCTTTGATCATAAACTGTACTGAGAAATTCTGTCATTCAGTAAATACATTTTGAGTGTTCTCTGTGTACATGATGCTAGTCTAAACAGCAGTAATCAAATTAGACAAAATGGCTTGTCTTGTGGCACTTACATTTGATCAGGAAAGATATGCGTCATGTTAGATAATGATAATGCTAAAGAGAAAAATAAAGCAAAGGGTAGTGTTACAAGGATCTGAGTGACAGGTTGGAATTTAGCGTGGTGTGGGGAGCAACCCGGACTAGACTAAGTTACTGGAATTAAGACTTATTCTATGCATCTGCTCTCCCACAATATGGCGCTGAGAAGGGAGAAACAGCTTCTACGCAGCTGCCTCCAGTTCAACCAATAAACAGCAGGACCTGCTCCTGATTGGAGGAGAGCAGCGTACTCGGCGTGTGGGTAGCAGAGTTGGGATTGGTGGAAGAGGACTATAAAGGAGGAGAGAGACAACATGCACCAGGAACACCTGAGGAACACCTGTGCAGCCCCCGAGAGAGCCGGCCGGCGGTGTGCCGCTCCCCCGCGGAAGTGGGGAATGTGGCAGGGGGAACTGCCCTTCCACGGAGGTGGAAGGGACAGTAGCCAACCCGGGAAGAACCAGCAGCAAACCCGGGGAGGGCCGAGCAGACAAAAGAACAGTGCAGGGTCCTGTGTCGTTCCTCCATGAAGAGGGGGAGCGACATAATGGTGCCGTGACTCGGATATGAAGCCTAGGCAGGGTTTAGTGTCGTTCCTCCATGAAGAGGGGGAGCGACAGCGTGGTATCAGTGGAGCTCTCAGAAGAGGCCACTTTTGAATAATATCTGAACAGCATGAGGAATAGGAATGAAGGAGCAAGCCACGTGGGCCTCTAGGGAAGAGTAGCCTGGCAGAGAATGGTTTGTGCAAAAGCCCTTTGTCAGGACTGTGCCTATCCAGTTGAAAATATAGGGAAGAAGCCATTGTAGTTGAGTTTAAGTGAAGAATGTGGTGCAGAGAGGTGAGGCCACAGAGTGCTCTTGGCATTTATTTACTCTGATTGAGATGGAGGGTCATTGGCAGATTCAGAGGAAGGATATAATCTGACATATTTTCACAGGATCCCTTTGAGCAGATTGGCTCAATGAACTTCAGATGAACAAGAGCAGCTGCAGCAAAACCTGTAAGGAGACTTGCAATAATCTAGGCAGGAGGTGCCAGGAGTTTAGACTGGGATAGCAGTGGGTGTGGTGAGAAATCATCAAAATATGGATGTATTTGGAAGATAGAGCTAATGGGATTTCCAAATATATTGGGTATGGAATGCATGAGAAAGGAAGGAGTAAGAGATGACATGGAGGTTTTTGTCATGCACCACTAGCATTGAATTGCCCTCAACTGAGATGAGGAAGAGTATTTGAGAGGATGAATGCAGAACTCCATTTTGAACATGTTAAATTTGAGATGCTGACTGGCCATTTAAGTAGAGATGATGTGAAAGCAAATCAAGTTCATGGGAAAGATATGGATGAAAGATAGAACTTGGCAAATCACCAGCATTTTAATCATACTTCAGAAATTATGGAGGTCTGGAATTCAGATGGGGTTCAACTGGGCAGTTTTTTCCTGTGATACTGACTGAAGTTACTCAAAGGTATGTAGTTTCACTCACGTATCTATTGCTTTGGCAGGAATGTTGGGAAGGTTATGTTCAGCTAGAAGTGTTGGCCACAGCACCTACACATGCCCTAACCAGCATGATGGTCTCAGGGTAGTTAGACTGCTGACATGGCAGCTGGCTTCTCCCAGAGTAAGTATTCCAAGATAACCAGGACAATACTACATGGCCTTTTCTAGCATAGCCTAGGATCATGCAACTTCATTTCTACCCAGTTGGTTGCAAACAATTAATAAAGCCAACCCAGATTCAAGGGAGGGGAATAAGACTCTACCTTTTTTTTTTTTTTTTTTAAGATTTATTTTATTTATTTGAAAGACAGAGTTATGGAGACCGCTGGAGCCAGAGAAAGAGGTCTTCTATCCGCTGGATCACTTCGCAAATGACCACAACGGCCAGAGCTGAGCTGATCCAGAGCCAGGAGCTTCTTCAAGGTCTCCCACGTGGGTGCAGAGGCCCAAGAACTGGGGCAATTTCCTACTGCTTTCTCAGGCCATAGCAGAGAGCTGGATCGGAGGTGGAGCAGCCGGGTTTGAACTAGCGCGCCCATATGGGATGCAGGCACTGCAGGTTGTGGCTTTAACCCGCTGTACCACAGCACTGGCCCTAAGACTCTACTTCTTAACTGAGGTGTGGCATTGCCACATTGTAGAAGACCAAGTAGATTGAAAGAGATTATGGCCATCATTGGAAAGTACTCTACCATACTGCATCCTCCCAAGGTCATACCCAATAGCCCCTTTCTAGAATCTTAAAACTTACTTCAAGCCTTACATTCAGTACCCTTCCTGCCCCTTTAATTGTGTGCATCCAATTGAACACTTAAAAATCCTTGAGAAATCATCCCCTTGGCTCCCCAGTTTTCCTTCATCATCCACTTCATGTTTTCAATGCTGTCCTTACCTAACTTCATTGCAGTTACTTCCTTGCAAATTCAGAGCTCTTAAAGCCTGTTGCTACACTCCTTCCACTTATCTAGCAAAATTGCAATGCTGATTAAACCTTACTTTGAAGAAGCGAGTGTTTGACTTGTCTTGGGATGCCTGCATCTCATATTGGAGTATGAGGATTCTAGTCCTGGCTTTCCTCTCCATTCTAGCTTCCTGCTAAGACACACCATGGGAGACACAGGTGACAGCTCAAGTAGCTGGGTCCCTGCCACTCATGTGGGAGACATGGATTGAGTTCCTGGCTTCAGCCTGGCCCAGCCCTGGTTGTTACAGGCATTTGGGAAGTAAACTAGTGATGAGACATCTTTCTGTCTCTCTCTCTCTCTCAATATCTATCTCACCCTCCACCCCCCTGCCTTTCAAATGTGTGTGTGTGTGTGTGTGTGTGTGTGTATAAACTGCCTGCCCACTTAATTCTTGCACCTGAGATACTCAACATTATAGGAGAAAACCTTATAATTATATTCATTGGTATCACATTAAATTTGGAATGCCAGGTTAATATGTTAGATTAACATACACATTTGGAGTGAGCATTGTGGCTCACAGGGTTAGCCACTGATTGTGATGCCCATATTGGAGTGCTGATCAAGTCCATGTCACTGTTGTCCACGTAGGAGACTCGGATGGATTTCCAGGATCCCGGCTTCCACCTGGTCCAACCCTGACTGTTGCAGGCATTTGGCTAATGAACCAGCAGATGGTTCATTTGCTCTCTCTTTCCATCTCTCTGTGTGTGTGTGTGTGTGTGTGTGTGTGTAACTCTGCCATTCAATTAAATGTGGAAAAAA